CTGCTAGTTAGTGGGTCAGTTTGATGTCAGTTTTTGTAAGCTGGACACTTTCCCACTGAGAACTGCACTGAAACCCATCAGTCAATGTAGAGAGCCCACTGATCAGTAGACAGCCCACCGATCAGCAGTCAGTTGCTCGCTGATTGTTACTACATAATGACATTCTGCAAACACATTCAAACTGTTAGTGATTTACTCTGTTGTAAGTGGTTCCAGTATCTTTAAGATTTCTTTGTATTTCCCCCTCTCAATTGGATAAATCAGAGCATGCTTTCTCCTGGGATAAGCCACCAATACTGGAAGCAGTGAAAGCACAAACAGCCCAGATCCTGTGACGATTACATTTGATCAGGTAGGAGATAAGTGTTTTACTGGCTGTTCTTCTTCTGATGTGACTGCTATTCATAGAACAAAACTTGGCAGTGGAATTCCCACTTGCTGAAGATCAGTGGCTTGACAAGGAAGCAGCAGCTCATAATAGAAGCAAGAGGGCGTCTATTACTAATGTGTGGGGGGGTGTATGGAGGCAGAGCTAGTCAACAACTGGAACATCTGGATAGTTAGTATTGATGTGACACCAGGGACCTCTTGCTAAACTTGGCCTGATCCTAGAAACTGCTGAGATCTTTCAGGGGATTTTGAAAGAGCCCATTGTAAGCACATGGCAGGATTCAGGGGTACCTAGTAGCCATCCAATCATTTCCAGTTCTCCTTGTTAAACACACCGACATTCAAGATGCTTGACTGGATGAAAGATTAGGGCCTGATCCTGTCAGCTCCTTGACTCCTGTTGACTTCAGAAGGAATGGAAGGGTACTCAGTCTCTCCCATGAGTGAGCTCTGCTTTTAAAATGAATGGGTTTGTGTGCGAGAATCCAGCCTGTGAGAGGTTAATTTTAATTTTCTAGCTTTAGCTCTGCACTTGAAATTGACCCAAATAGTTTTCTCATCGGTGATACTAGTAGTTCTTGAATAAGAAAGAGACTTTCCTCCTACTGATCTCTCAAGGTTATTTTGACTGACGTTATTTTGAAAAAACAATGCACAGCAGTTATTTTGAAATAGTGTAGACGTACCCTCAGGGAGGCTTCCTGAAGCCAGTGAAGTTAGATTAGGGATGGATTTAGCCTGGGATGCTTATTTTTTTATTTTTTTTGAAGATGCATGGAGCAAACGCCAGAGGCTTCAAAAAGCTTAAGTGACCTGCCCACTACATACTGAAAGTAATTTATACATTCAATGAGGAAAACTATGTGATGAAAATCTGTTCTCTATTATAACATAAAATAACGTCTTAAATTTGGATAGAAAACACTCTCTATGATGATGATGTAGTCTGATGCAAGAAATAAATCCAAGAATTCTTTGTGATATTTTCAAATTAGTATAGATGTTTGGCGCTTGCTTTTTTTTTTTTTTTTTTTTTGTAACAACTTTGATTCCTTATCTCAGTAAGTGAAACATTGTCCTGCCTGACTTCGAGCCCCCAGCTCCTAATGGCATATTTGAGAGAAGCGGTGGCAAAACTGCATTACAAATACAAACGTGTCTGCTGGTTTTATTATTGGGATTCAGTATTTTGCAATGATGGAGACGTGATGATTTCTCAGACAGACGTCTGCCACTTTGGTAAACAGTGTGTATTGCTGCACACTGCATCTAAGGGTGCGTCTACACAGCAATACCATTCTGAAATAACTTAGTCCGCGTCTACACAGCAGGCAGTTGTTTTGAAATAATGTCGAAATACTGTCGAGCTGGAGCATTTCTTACTCTGACTCCTGTAACCTTCACTGTCTGAGGAATAAGGGAAGTTGGAGGAAGAGTGCACTGTTTCAAAATAAGTGCTGTATAGACGCTCTCTATTTTGATTTCAAACTAAGATACACAATTGACATAGCTCCATTTGCGTAGCTTATTTAGAGTTAAGCCCTTCAGTGTAGATGCATCCTAAGTGTGTGTGTGGGACGGGGAAAATCATTGGATATTTACAAGGTACCTTGTGGCAAGTATTTAAGGAGCAGATAGCAGTGGTTTGTGCTGCCGTCTAATGTGTTCACATTTCACCAACCCTGTACGTTTGTAATGTTCTTTTAAAAGATCAAGGTTTGAATAGGCTAGGAGACAGCACTCCTTCCTTACTCCTCAGGGGGTCCTTCCAGATGTGGAGTGAGGTCCATCTGCAGGGTACCTAGGGGGTTGTCATGCACTTCCACTACTCTTGCTGTACGTATTTGTAGATAAAAGGATTTCAATTCCCAGGGCTGTCAAGCTGTAACAGTCCCTTAGCATGTGCCTTTCCTGTTTTTGCATTCGTTGTGCTATTTACCTTCCTTATGTTTTTGTTTGGCAGGCGTGTGGGGGTAGGTTACAGTCTGTTCTTTTGGGATCTCCACCCATCCCTACAGGGATAAATAGGCCATCTCCTTCCATCAGCACTAAATTCACAACATCCAAGCTTATGTTTACTACCAAGAAAATAAAAAGGGTTACATCTTGTTTCCACCCCCCTAGTTGAAATGTTACTCACCCTCAAGTAACTAATAAAAATAAAAGAAGAGAGAATGTCAGGAGTTGTTCCTAATTCCCCAGCTGGTGTTACATCCCATGGAACAGACTCAAACCCAGTTCCTGATGTGTAAGTGGATATCTTCCTTAGGGTTCAACAAAACAAAACAAGAAAGCTCCAAATGGCACCACCCATCTACTCTATCTTGATGTGTAATTTGAAAGGGGGTTAAGTTAATTTTTTGGGCTTCCAAGTGCTCAGATTTGGTTTGCTGTCAATCACTCCTGAATTGGATGATTCTGTTTGGAAAGGAAGCAAAAGCTATTTCCCCTTTTACATTGTGTTGTGTTTAGTGGGCGTCGCACAGGTGAAAGAGGGTGCCTTGACAGCACTGCCTCTTGTTAACCTCTAGAATAGGGGTAACACAAGCCATAGGGTACAGTGCGCAGCAGCATCTGAGTAGAGCCAGGGATCTGATGCTCCTGTGTAGCTATTTATACCCATGCTGCCAAACCAGACTTCTCCAGGCTCCTAATCTAATAGTAATGTTTTCGCCCACGTTGCACAGGGGTAAATGGCTGCGCAGGGTGCAAAGCAGTGGATAAACAAGTTCTCTGGGCTTGATCCTACAATCTTGACTTTGAGTGCCACATGCTCAGACAGGTACACTCATTAATGGGACTGCTTGCATAGTGCTTCTTAGCATGAGTACAAGTTGCAAAACCAGCCCCAGGAGCATATCTGACCACATTACAATGCTTGGTCTCAGCTATGGACACAGACACCTATTTAGCTGAAAGAAGAAATATTAACGAGGCGTTTGGCGGATGTCCTGGGCTCTTTAAATTCCACCGGTGGCAGCCCCTAGAAATGGCCAGAAAGGCCTTTACTATAACAGCTCAATCTTAGGACAGCATCTGGAAGGGCTGGTCTGTATCATTGTGGTGGGGTGACTACCCCACACTGGCTAGAAGGGGTTAATGCAGGTTGGAGGGAGCCTGTGCAGAGCCTTGGCCTCTCAGGGGGAAGCTTTTAAAGAACCAATCAGAATATAGCTTGCTGGAGCAGCCCTATATATAGGGAGCTGCCTAGCTGAAGGAGTCAGTTAGGCCCTGGCCAGGGAAGGCCCAGGCGCAGGCGCAGGCGCAGGCCCTGGCCCTGGCCCTGGCCCTGGCCCTGGCCCTGGCCCTCTGAGAAGCATCTTTGATAGAGCAGGGCTGGGCAAACTCAAGGGGTCTAGAAGAGGGAGAATGCAAAGGATCACAGGGCAAGTGGCCCAGGGAACTAGAGGCAGTGGAGGAGGGCAGGACAAGGCTGCTGCCAGAGGGTCCCTAGGTTGGGACCTAGAGTAGTGGGTGGGCCTGGATTCCCCCCTTGCACCATATCTAGTCCCATTTTTTTTGTGTGGCTTGCCCCTGAAGTGAGGGGCTACGCTCGGAGGACATTGGGGCTGCAGAGATGCCGGACTGCTGATTTAACATACACCCCCAGAAGGGGGAAGAGAGACCCCTGGAATGGGTGCTGCTGGAGGGCGGTGTCCTGAAGAGGACGCTGTGCTCCAGGAGTGATGTGGGTCTGGAATTGGAGAATGGAGCGACGGGGGAGACACCAGCCAGAGGGAGGCGCCTTGCTGACAAGAGCTAATTCCCAGTGCTCCCAGCAGGAGGCGGCGTGGCGGTGAGTTCGCCCCATGACAACAGTGAAATGTTACCGGGTTTGAAAAGGGCTGTGAATAGTCGAGTCAGCTGGCAGGAGGCTGACATAAGAACGGCCCTACTGAGTCAGGCCAAAGGTCCACCTAGCCCAGTAGCCTGTCTGCTGACAGTGGCCAGCACCAGGTGCCCCAGAGAGGATGGACCAAAGACAGTGATCAAGCGATTTGTCTCCTGCCGTCCTTCTCCAGCCTCTGACAAACAGAGGCAAGGGACACCATTTCTAACCCCTGGCTAATAGCCTTTTATGGACCTATCCACCATGAAATTATCTAGCTTCTCTTTAACCTCTGTTATAGTCCTAGCCTTCACCGCCTCCTCTGGCAAGGAGTTCCACAGGTTGACTACACGCTATGTAAAGAAGAACTTTCTTTTATTAGTTTTAAACCGGCTACCCATTAACTTCATTTGGTGTCCTCTAGTTCTTTTATTGTTTTCTTTATGCGCCCTCTCCACACCATTCATGATTTTATATCCCTATCATATCCCCCCTCAGTCTCCTCTTTTCTAAACTGAAAAGTCCTGGTCATTTTAACCTTTCTTCATATGGAACCCGTTCCAAACCCCTAATCATTTTAGTTGCCCTTTTCTGAACCCTTTCCAAGGCCAAAATATCTTTTTTGAGGTGAGGAGACCACATCTGTACACAGTATTCAAGATGTGGGCGTACCATAGTTTTATACAGGGGCAGTAAGATATTCTGTGTCTTATTTTCTATCCCTTTCTTAATAATTCCTACCATCCTATTTGCCTTTTGGACTGCCGCTGCACACTGTGTGGAAGTTTTCAGGGAATTATCCACGATAACTCCAAGATCTCTTTCCTGATTTGTCGTAGCCAAATTAGCCCCCATCATACTGTACGTATAGTTGGGGTTATTTTTCCCGATGTGCATTACTTCACACTTATCCACATGAAATTTCATTTGCCGTTTTCTTGCCCAGTCACTCAGTTTGATGAAATCTTTTTGGAGTCCCTCACAGTCTGCTTCTGTCTTGACTATCCTAAACAGTTTGGTATAATCCGCAAACTTTACCTCCTCACTGCTTACCCCTTTCTCCAGATCATTTATGAATAAGTTGAACAGGATCGGTCCCAGGACAGACTCTTGGGGGACACCACTAGTTACCC